CTCCATGTCTGTTTTCTCCACATTTTGTTGGAAAAGGATCGTGCTCTGTGTATCTTTCTTCTATATTCCTTTTCAAGAAAGAATGATCTGTATTCTTTCTTTCCAACGCCAGAGGAGTTCCTCCAAATAATGATCAGTGAGCAGCTACCATGGCTCTTGTGGTTGACCATGAGCTCATCCGCTTCTTCTCCTCCTACTTGGCCCTCAGCCTCGTCAATGGTACTAAAAGTAGAACTGACTAAATCACCATCTGTCCAGAAGCCAGGACTATTTTGATGCTGTCCTCAGGAATCATCTGCTCCAAGGCATGTACGAACTAGACTCTTCCCATAAGCTCTCAGATGTGGTGCCAGGAATGTTCTGGCTGACACACCTGTCCCCATAGGAGTCTGCTTTCCCCTGGCTTCTCCTCGGAAGGCGACTTTTACAAAGGGACAATAAGGGATCCTCTAGACATTTCCATCAGAAAGCAACCAGACAGTTTGGGTGACACCTCTTACTCCTCTTGTTTAAATGGGAACATGTTAATCTGTATATTTATGATTCTACATAGAAGCCTGGAAGCCTCCATAAAGATAGTAAATATTATCCATCTAAGGGAGGACAGAAGCTTTTAAAAGTAGAAGAGATCTTCATCTGGCTGACTTCAATGTAAGTCCTATTGAAGGCTCCTGCCCAGAATGCCTGTCCTCTTCTCTCTACTAGACTTCCTTGGCCGTTCTCTAAGAGCCAAATGAAATTTGTCCCAACTACTTAGAGAAGCTTCCCCTCACTCTGTCTTTTTCTCACACCCATCCATTGGCTGTTTAGCACTGACTGACCTTTAATGGAGTTATTGCCCGTGACCTGTGGTCTTTCCATCTAAGCTGTGAATGCCGAAGTTTGGGCCACTTCCACTAGCCGATTCCTGGCGCAGCAGACACCCAGCACTGGTGGTCATGGCAGCACGGTTCTCTACTCGACAAATGGGTCTGCCATCACTTCTTTGTGTTAGTTTGTTCGTCTGTTCCAAGATCCATTACATGAATATTGAATGTTAACTCTTGGCCTGTCACTAATCTGGACATTGGAGATGCAGTGTCCAATGTGGCTGGAACCCTGCCTTAGAGCAGCTCACAGTCTAGTGGCGAGACATATGTTACTATACCAAAACCAAACCCGTTGCCACTGAGTTGAACTTACTTTATGTGTGTACGAGTAGAATTATGCTCCATGGTGTTTTTAATGTCTGCTTTTTCAGAAGTAGATCAACCAAACTTTCTTCCAAGACATCTCTGGGTGGATTCAAACCATCAGCCTTTTGGTTGGTAGCTGAGCACTTAACCATCTTAACTCTCTATTATCATTGAGTGAGCTAAAGGTAATTGTTCAAATGCTTTGGTGGCTACATTAGCCTCAGCGAGTTGGGAAAGACCTTACATAGGAATTGATCCCTGTGCCAATCTTCCTTGAAGCTCAGAAACACAGCACAGGCAGTGGGACGCTGAGAGAAAGAGCGATCCGGTGGAGAAGAATGCAAAGGAATAAAGGCACGAAGGGGCCCAGAGAGACCTTCTAAAGCCCAATGCTAGGTGTTTTTGCTGTGCTTGCACATCAGCTGGTCCCAGATGGGTGGCCACTTGACTTCTGCACATGGACAGGGAAGGTTGGAATCAGAAAAACCAAGGTCAGAAATACAGAGCTGCCTGGGGCCTCCCAGCTTCCCTTCCAGCTCCTACTCCCCAATTAGACTGAAAGTGGCTTCTGGGACACTGGGGTGCTCTCCCATTGGTGAAATCATAATATTGTATGAGTCACAAGTCCCACTGCCAGCCCTGCAGTCAGGGTCAGGGGTGTGAATTAAAACAACTAGGGGGGGGAGGGAAGAGCTGATACCAAGGGCTCAATAGAAAGTAAATGTCTAGAAGAGAATGAGGGCAACATATGTACAAACATGCCTGATTCAATTGATGTATGGACTGTGGTAAGAGTTGTACGAGCCCCAATAAAATGATTTTAAAAACAAAACCAAAACCACAGGACCTTGATTGCTTTGAGCAGGGGCTGCTGAGACCAACCGAAGAGCTTGCTTCCCTTTGTCACTGGGAATGAGGGTACTACCAAAACTTGATTTCAGACTCTTTCCTCAGAGAGCTTTAAGCACCTTGCAGTCAATATCCAATCATAATAGCATTCAGAGGAACTCTTTCATCAAGCAGTTTGTAAATAGTATCTCATGTAATCAGTACAGGATTTTAAAATGTAAGATTAAGTGACATTCCTGAGATCTCACAGCTCATCCTGATAGCAAGAATCTGAGTTCCAGTTTGATTATAATGTTTATGCACCACATCCTGCCACCATTCTGGATAGGAGTAAAAAGTCAAGAATAATCCTGGCCTGGATGAG